TTTCCCCTTTGATGTCATGAAAAATTTATGAAACAATTTTCAAATCATTGTATACAATTTAAAGTATGAATAAGGATCTTTTGCTATGGTTAAAATTACTTTTTAACCTAATCATTATAGAAGAACAGGCACCTCCAATGTGAAAAAGTTACTTAAATTAAAAAAATTTTTCCACAGAAATAGTACAAATAAGAAGTAGGCTCCAAGGCAGGCCCATAGAAGAGACTTATTTTACACGTTGTACAGAGTATGTCTGTTGGTTTCTCCCTCTGCCTAACACACACACACACACACACACACAGTGTCAGTCTGGAATGCTACTATATAACCAGAGGGCACTAGGAAACAGAAAGAAATACGAGTCTGAACTGACACAGAAAGAAGCTAAGCAAACACGACTGAAATACTTTCCAAAGTAATTACCCACCTCCTATTAATTGCCAGCACTATCAGACTTCTTGGGAACACGCTGAAGCAGCTGGCTAGATACCTGTAAGGGCTTCATTAGACTCTTGGGGAAATATCTTTCCTTTTCTACTGAATAAATTTGGAACAGGAGGGATAAAGGACAACTTTAGAAGACACGAGTTCTACTTTACAAATAGTGACATGGTTCCTTCCATCACCTGGAAACGCCCCCTCCCCAGGCATCGCCGTTCAGCTCAGCGTTCCTCTGGAATACAAGATGACATTGCCAGCCTCCTGTTGGACAAGCCTTTGTTCTTGGGATGAAATACACTTACACGTACAAGTGTCCTGTATTCCCCTCTTCTCACTGAGGCCACGACAAGCGTCAAGCTGCCGGCACTCTCATCCACCCACTGATGATCTTCCTCACCACGCAGCTTCTCTACTTGCCCAGATTAATAAAATGAGCACAATAAATACACAGTAGCCACCCAGTATTTGTCAGGCTTAAAAGGTAATTAATGAAAAGTGCTGACTGGGTCACCTGTATGCAGTAAGCATTCAAATATTAAGTATTATTAGTGAAGTAAAAATGTAAGCCAGAAGGTAGCTTAAAAGTCTATTATAACCCAACTCTCATTGTTTGAGAGCTGAGGAGACGAAGTCCTGAAGTCACACATGCAGTCAGTACCTACACGACACTGACACCCAAGTTACATCCTTGTGGGCAGACTCTTCACGGGGTGGGGGAGGGCGAAATCCCAGGTACCATGTGCTATCACCTTTCGAGTTACCTAAGAACGCTGAAAACAAATCAATCCTGCATCTCCAAACTTCAGTTTTTTTAGATATCACATCTTACATATTTTGAATTTCAAATCACACTGAAGGCAGGTATAAAATGCATTTTTAGCAAGAAAGAGTTTTTAAAAGGTTGAGAAACACCTCTTCGATTGTTCAACCGGTCTTTACTGAATGTCCATTTTCTGAAAGGCACTGACTATACTGGACAGTGGGAACAAAGAGTCAGTGGACAGGGATTTTGTCCTCAGAGAGCTTCCAGTCTGCAGAGAACAACATACGAATGAACAGACTACTTTCACACTGTATGACAAACACTGGAAAGGAGACTGAGTGGTCATCTGGACCACCAACTGGATGATGGGGACAACAAACTGTAATAAT